CGCCGTCGTCGACCACGCGCCGCCGCTCACGCCCGCCCCGTCCGCGCGCATCCGCCGCGCCCACTTCCCCCCCGCGCGCGCCTACGCCATGCGCCGCCACGCCGCGCCGGCGGGCGACGCGCCGGACGCGCGCCCGCCGTCGTCCGAGGAGTCGGACACGGACTCCGTGTCGCGCCCGTCGCTGTACCCGCACGAGCCGCGCGCGCGCCGCGCCCCGTTCGAGGAGTACTACGGGCACGGGCCGCCGCAGACGCTCGAGCTGCTGGAGGAGCTCAAGTCGGACCGCCTGGAGGGCATCTACAACCTCGCCTTCTTCATCCTCGCCTTCTCGCTCATCTACTTCTTCATCCGCTCCATCGTCGAGGTCGGCTTCCTGGCCGGCCCCAGCGCCCTCTGCCCGCGCAAGGTCCTGCGCGACATCCGCGTCTCGGCACTCACCCTGCTGCCCGTGCCCCTCGCCTTCCTCGCCCCCTTCTCGCTCGTCTACGCACACTCGCGGGGCCGCGTGTCCAAGTGGACCACCCTCGCACTCCACTGGCTTTCCCTCATCGTCCTCGGCGTCGTCACGACCGCCGTCCAGTTTCGCACCCACCTCAACCCCCTCACCGGCCTGTTCCACGGCTGCATCTACGTCGCCATCGCCCTCAAGCAGCACAGCTACGTCCTGACCAACCTGCTGCTGTGGGAGGAGACCCGGAACAAGCGTCTGGCCCGCGTCAAGACCTACCACTTTGGCCAAACCAACCGCAACAGCAGCACCGCCTCGCTCTCGAGCGCGGACGCCGCCTCGTCGCCCGCCCCGCCGACCACCGCCGCGCCCGACAGCAACGGCTCGCCGGGCCCGGACGCCCCGCCTACCGACGCAAACGCCGCCCCCATCGTGCGCAAAATGTCGTCCGGCTTCCTGTCCAACGTCATCTACAAGCCCGTCGTGTACCCGCGCAACGTCACCGTGGGCAACTACCTCTACTTTGTCGTCGCACCGACGTTTGTGTACGAGACGTCCTACCCGCGCACCACCCAGATCCGCAAGATGTACGTCGCGTGGCACTCGCTGCAGGCGTGCGCGTGCGCGGCCGTGCAGTACGTCCTGCTCATGCAGTTCTACATCCCCACGCTGCGCAACTCGGTGCCGCCGCAGCGCAACCTCTGGTTCTTCTGCATGAAGCTGGCCCTGCCGTCCTTCATCATGTGGCTGCTCTTCTTTTGGGGCTTCTTCCACTGCGGGCTCAACGTCATTGCCGAGCTCACGCGCTTCGCCGACCGCGAGTTCTACCGCGAGTGGTGGAACTCCACCACGCTCAACCACTTCTGGCGCACCTGGAACGTCCTCGTGCACGAGTGGTGCGTGCGCCACCTGTACATCGAGTCGCGCAGGCACAACGTCAAGCCCAGCACGGCTGCCTTCGGCACCTTCTTCATGTCGGCCGTCCTGCACGAGTACGTCTGCATGATCGGCTTCCGCATGCTCCGCCCGTACATGTTCCTCGGCATGATGCTGCAGGTCCCGCTCATGAAGTTGTCCAACCGCTGGGCCGGCACCCGCAAGGGCAACATGCTCATGTGGCTCATGATCTTCGTCGGACAGCCCGTCGTCGTGCTGATGTATGCCAGGGACTATGTCGCAAAGTGGGGCTCGCTCATGTGCAATGAGACGTGACGGTGGTGAAGGAGGGAGAGGGGGGGGGGGGGAGGGAAGGGTTGAGTGAAAGGAAATGGGATACAGAAAACAGGGTGGGAAGAGGTAAGATAAGGAAGGGAGGGCTGGGAGGAAGGGCTGGGAGGAAGGGAAGAGAGGGGGGAGGGCGGTCGGTGTACAGAATACTGTAGTACAGTTATCGTAACGGTCGGGGCGGGGAGCCCCCCGCCGGGGGGGAATTTGTGTGATTAATTTTTCTTGTTTGTACGGAATGGCGGTTGAAAAGAGAGCAGCATAGCGGCACACAGGCAGGCGCGTCCAGGCTTTGGTACCCTTCGGTAAAGTACCCAACGGTACCGGGAATGGGAATGAGCGTGTGTGTACAAGTACGGCGCAGTCGTTGTGCAGTCGTTGGGTGTGCACGTAGTGGGCAGTGTGTACCAGACGCGGTGCGTACCAGACGCGGTGCACCAGAGGCAGTCTACCAGAAGCTGTGTACCGTAGTGTTGCAGAGGGCGGCAGAACTACCAAGGGTAGCAGAACTACAAGGCGGTTTTTGTTTTAAAACGTGCACACTGGTGCGGTGGGAAACAATGCGCGCGAGTACGTAGCGCGCGGGCGGCGCGTTGTGGGCGCGCACGTGGGCGGCGCGGGCGGACGGAGTGCGCCTGAGCAGCGCCCGGCAGTGGGTCCACTGTGTGACATGTCGCGAGAAATTCAGCGTCACCCGCCGTCCCGCCAAGCCACCGCCGTCCCGCACCGCTCCCCGCCCCCTGCCGTCCCGCACCGCCCCCTGCCGTCCCGTCCCGTCCCGCACCGCCCCTTGCCGTCCCGCCGCGCCCGCCTTCCAGGCGCGCGCCCGCACGCTCCGCCGTACGTAACGCCCCCGCGCCCTCCTCTCCCGCGGCCCGAGTGCACTCGCCCCACCGGTGGGCGCCCCACCGTCGCCCCGCATACACGTACTGTACACCCGCCAAATCGTACGCTGCCCCACACGCGCGTCACGCCGCTGCCGGAAATAGCCCCCACCCCCCTGACGTACACCCCGAAACCGCCTACGCCGTAAACCAGTCTGCCGCCCTTGCCGCCACGTCCCTGCTCCGGCATTACCTCGCCGCCGCCCCGTCTCCCTCCCCGACCCGGGTCTCCCCTCTCCCACGTCAGCACCAAGATGACTGGGACACGT